GTCGAACGAGTGGAATGTGGGATATCATAGCAGCCACATGGGAAAGTAATACCAGATGGGTAAGGTATGCTGCTCACCTTTCCGAGAACAGATGGACGTTAGGCATTAATGAATTGTATCCGCGAGAGGAAGACGACTTCCTGAGAGTCTCCGAAGAGGTGACGTAGACAAATCGAACGAATGGTAAATGCTAACTGAAGGCATGTAGCCCAGGATCATGTGCCCGCATAACTGCGTTTGACTTGTGGAAACGTTCCAGGTTAGCAGTAATAACAGCCACGGCTCGGGCTTTCTTGGTATTTTTGATATATATATAAATAGAGAGAGAGCGAGAGAGTGTTTTATCATACATATAAAAACACTCTGTAACGTCATTCACTACTAATAGTACTTACTGTCAAGGAAAAACGACTCGAAAGGAAAAATCGCACGAAAGAAGAAAAAAGTTGGGATTAGCATAAAATTTGGGCTTCGCAATACCGTAATCCAAAAAATATTCTTTTATAATAACGGTGCCGCTGTCAACCAGTGGCACCAGCAGTTAACCCAGGATCTGGAACAAACCAACCTTGCCAGTGCGATCATGCGTTTTTGCACCAAACTTGAAGTAATTAGGTTAACTGCATGAATGGTTGCTGCTCAACACCTACCTTTTGCGTTCAGTACGGTAAATCGTCATAAATTTTGCATAAACGAAAATAAACAACTTCCGTCTAGCGATCGTTTTTATGCGTTTTTGCTTACACGCAAATTGCAACTCAAGCTGGAACGCACCGGGCGGGCCCGCGCGATCATGCGTTTTTGCAACAGAATTGAATTACTCAGGTCATTAACTGTATGAATGGCTGTTACTTTACACCTAACTTTTGCGGTCACTAGTATAAATGCCATAAATTTTGCAAAGTAAATGTACAGTTTCCATTCAACAGTCGTTCTTTAAAAATAACCTAGTTGTTCAGTGAGAAATTTTTTTCGTCGAGACTTCTAAGTGCCCGTACGTAAGAACCACGCATGCCTCAAGGCTGGATTTGAAATACTTAAGTTGTACTTAGACAGGAAACTTTCCCCTAAAGCTTCATCTTTATAGCTTTTCTGATTCCCGAGTTAAAATTTTCTCTCAGAAACTTTCTTACGCTCTTATGTGAGTACCAAACATAGCTTAGGGCTGAATTTGAAACATTTGTGTTGTACTTGGACAAGGAACATTCCCTCAAAATTTCGGCCTTCCAGCTTTTCTAGCTAGCGAGTTAGCAGTTTTCCCGCAGAAACCCTCACACACCCGTACTTGGGTACTCTACATGCTTGGAAAGCTGAATTTGACATTTTCAAATTGTACTTGGACAGGAAACATCTGCCTGAAATTTCAGCCTTCTAGCTCTTCTGGTTGCCGAGTTAGTAATTTTCCTGCAGAAACATTCATATGTCCTTACGCGAGTACAATGCATAGCTTGGGGCTGAATTTGAAATATTTGAGTTGTATTTCGATAGGGAACACTCCTCCAAAATTTCAGCTTTCTAGCTTTCCTGGTATTCGAGTTAGCAATTATCCCCCCAAAACTTTCATGCGCCCTTACGTGAGTACCACGTACAACTGGGGGCTGAATTTGATATCTTTAGCTAGTACATGCACAGGGAATATCCTTACAAACTTTCAGCCTCTTAGCTCATGTGGTTCCCGAGATCGCTTTCCCACCAAAAAATTTGCATATTTTTTTTAAAACATCCGCACGCGGCACCCAGGCGTCCAAGGGGGATAAAATCAAGGTGGGAGGGTCGCGCATGGTATAA